TGTAGCCGATTGATTGTTTTATCGATACGAGATGATTATCATGATCTTCACTATTCCATTCAAGAATTCTATTAATCAGAAACTTTGATTCTTCATCTACAATCTAATCAAATTTTACATAAGATTCCAAAATATTATAATTTCGTTTCATGTGACAAGAAAAGATTGCAAGGTATTTTCGTCACTAGGCCCGATAAGCGGTTTTTGGGCCCAGCGACGAAAAATTTTGTATATCAGCCGGCGATAGAACTATTATTTTCCTGTGATAATTATAATGCTCACCTTCGGCTCGGATTATAAACCCACATTCATCAGATAACACTTTTATCGTTTGATGACATGTACTGTAATGCAATGTACTACTAATTGTTATTATTGGATAGTAATGATTCCATTATTTACTCATTTAAAAATTTTTCGAATTGAACTTGTCATTAAGTTAAATGCCCTTTTTAACTGTATTACTCATAAATACGATAGCACAAAAATTCCGGGAATGGTCTCTTAAAATCATATCAAAATGGTTTTGGTGGCCAGTAAATCACGATGAGTACGAGATTAACGTCAGAATAATGAGTAATTTCGGCATGACGCCAAAGAGACAAAAAGTGGCCACAATTACTTTCTTTGATATTTCGTAGCGGTTGAAGAAAAAAAACAAGTCATATTTAGATATTGAACTATGGAGTACCTAATGAATGCCAGGAATCAGTTGTGGAGAATTTTATGGAAGTAAATGGTGCTTCCAGCGACTAGCTATGCGGTCATAAGTCACTCCGTATCTTTATCGGCGGACCCCCATGTCACCGTCAGCCTCCCATCTATCTCAAATACTGATAACACACGTGCAAAATAATATTACGAGCCCTCCCTTGCACATTCTCGTTTCCATCATTAACATCGTCAACATGGTAGACTGAAAGGGTTTGACGAAAAGCCGATGATTACCTCATAATTTATTTATTTCTCAGATTACAACAATGATGTTCTATAAAACCAATAGTTTAGTCAGAATTTACGCAATTAATTAGTTAGAAGTTGTATCTTAAAAGTGTTTGTCAGAAAAATTCCATTCGGCACAGGAATTTTTAATTTTCTAATTCACACATTTGAGCTGTTTCATTTTTTAATTAAAAATTAATTAAAAAATTTTAATGTGTTCAAACAGATTTTTAACGGACGATTATTGAGATAAAATTCTGATGAGCGATCAAGTTGGTATAATTCAAGCGCGTTTGTTTCCGTTTGATTTTTATCGTCTTAAATTTTTTGTGCGCTTTTAAAAATTGATTATATATATTGTATGTATGTTATAAACATTTTTCTTTGTTCCAGGTAATTTTGAAGGTGATAGTCGTCGCCCGGGACGGGCAATCTCACCACAATAAATAGACGAAACTGGTTTTCACAATGATTTGACAGATGTATTTGATTCTGAGATCATTGTGAAAGCTGATTTTGTTCGCCATGCAACTGGACCTAACACTTATTTATGTGGAAATCTTGACATCAATCAATCTCATCATTTACCTCAGTAAATGGATAATCCTATGTGCGCTGATCGAACAAATCTAATTTACGGAAATAGAACGCGGCAAGGAAACATGTTTCAACTAATGGATCAATATTAATCATAGGATTAATCACTGGATAGGGATCCGAGAGATTCTCCATTTTTTTCCTGATTTTTCAACGCTGGAGTTTCTCGTTCAACTGCAGGCGGGTGTAATTGTTGACGGATAAATAAATAGGCCAGACAAAGAGACCTCTGTGTCGGGATCCTCAGCGTAGCACGCGCTGCAAAATCGAGTCGTGCGCCCACAAGGGCAAAACTCAAGCTTTATACTGAGAAAATTGGTTAAAAGTTTATAAACTTGGCAAAAATCAAACGCACAATTTTAATTATTACCTATTTCAGTCTGTCCTTGTCGTAAAAAAAATCAACAGTGATGCACTCGATTACGCATTTTGTTGTGACCAACGAAGATTCATTTTACATAATTTTTTTTGAACGAAAAATACTCTTATTTTTTTAAATACATCAGAATTGCGCATGAAATGAATCTGCATTGAAATTTACTGCGTGGTATAACGGGTGCTTGCCAATTATACATCTAGAACGAGCACGAGCGAACGTTTTTTGCAGGAATTTCCGGTGGTGATCTATCAAACGAGAAAGATTATATCGCACAGGCGGTAGAAGAAACCGTCAAGAATTAAAAAGTGAAGAAAAATTGTTCTAAATGCATATCGCACCTCTATTAAAATTTGTACGTATCGATTCCGAATTATTCCATTATTTCATTTCGTAATAATGTTTTTTTTTCATCACTCAAATGAGTGGAAAAATATTTGTTAATTACTGCACTCGGATATTCAACAAATTTCCGAAAGATTTAATCTAATTTTACATCTCGAATTGACTTGTCTGTATCAGTAACACATGAGTTCATTTGAATTTCCTCATTTTCGCTGTCTCTCCGTTCCTTTTATCCTGTATAATATCTCACTGACTACAAAGAAAGCGACGTATCAGCTACCCTGCTATCAAATGTCAAACGAACCGAACGTAAGAAAAACCAAAAGGCTAGCCCTGGATTGACTCAAACCAATCCGTGGAATAACGAAACGAGAGAAGTTGAAAAAAAGGAGTGACTCCTTAGATGGTATTCATGATTCAGAGGCACTCAGCATCCCTACTCTCACATCAAAATATGACAGCTCGTAGAATCTTCCTACCTCTGATCCTTCAAGGACCTACCGTAGGAGTTACGGTCAATATGCGGGTGGATTCTGTCATGAATATTTAATATTTAACCAAAAGTAATTTCTTCCCAAGCTTGCGAATACAGAAAGTGTAAAAATCGGAAAGCGCACGTTTTTTCAATGTCGTGAGTTTATTCGCTAGTAGAAAGCATTTATTTTTTTATACTTTATGTTAACTTTTGTGATGGGTGAGAAAATTC